GAGGATGGATGTGTGTGTGGAGATGGGATAGAGTGGCTATTTTTGTTGTAGCCCTGGCCATGACAACCCGCCAGGGATCCATTTACCCAGGTGACTAGAAGAGTGATCGGTTTCCTGCTGGTAGTGGCACATACTTTCCTAGGAAAGCCACAACAAATTACCGCAAACTCGGTGTCTTGAAAGAAGTTTATTCTCTCATAGTCCTGGAGACTACGTGGTGCCTTGTAGATGGAGAGACGTCTTTTCCACTTGGGTTGTAAACTCTTTTCAAAGGTTAAAGCTTTCTTTCACATTCCTCCGCAGACTCATAGAATCCCAGGCCTAAATTGAGTGGTTTGGTGTCTTACCCCAATGCCACCAGATGTTTAAACACCAAGATCAACAGCATTCTGTTCTTTTCAGAGAATGTTCAACAGACGGAGATAATGGCTGTCCCCAGTCACCCTTCTGTTTGTGACCTCCTGCAGCCCTGTTTCCTTCCACAAAACATAATTCTCAGCAACTCCAACATGAAAGCACTTCAGAAGGTAATAGAGGCACCCCTCAGCCCTCTCGGCTCTCAGTGCCAAGGGTGGGAAATCCTAGCTGCCCACAGGCCAGCCCCTAAAGAGGGTGAGCTGGGCATGTGTGTGAACAGTGGGATCAGATCGCGGTGGACCTTTTACTGGGGACAGCAGCCACCCATCCTCCACTGACTGTGGAATGTGGGCTGAGTTTTGAGAGATCGTATGAATTTTCCAGAGAAGCTGGAAATTGAGAATTTCAAGTGGAATTCCTGACTTTTAAAAACGATGGCAACGAATTTCATTTTTCAAAAACCGGTGCGCCAAACAAAACACCACTGTGGGCTGGATGTGGCCGATGGACTATCAATTTGCAAGCCTTGCGCTCAGCTGCCTGGGACCTGGGCTGCATTCCTTAGTGTTTGCCGAAGGTGAATTAGCCAGTAAACCAGGGAAGCACAGGCTTCCTTCTGCTTGCTTACAAATCTGTGAAGAACTTCATGTGGGTTTTAGGACAAGTACCCTGTAGAGACTTTGTAGGAAGGCACTGTGGAGGCTGGGAGAAAGAAGAATATGGTGGGAAAAATATAAGATATTCACTATAGTCGTTGTTGTTGTTGTGTACCGTTGAGTGGGAACGGACCCCTACCTGGCCCTCCAGTAGGTTTTCAGAGGCAGTAAATTGCATAAGAGGAGACTGCCCATTCTTCTCCCACAGAACAGCTCGTGGATTTGAACTGTGTGCCTTATAGGTTAGTTTTGTTTGCCATCAAGTTGGAACTAACTCCTAGCTGACCCTCCAGTGGGTTATCAGAGACAGTAAACTGCACAGGAGGAGACTGCCCATCCTCTCACTGAGCGGCTGATGGATTTGAACCACGTGTCTTTAAAGGTTCTTAAGTAAATATAATACAGCCCATGATTACCATCTTTGTTGGATAACCTGACTTACTGGTAGTACTTGCTGCTAGTACTGTTCCCACTTCTTACTCTCACTGCTATGGAGTAGAGTTAGTTCCAATTCATAGACACCCATCATTGAGGGTTAAAGGAGGAAACTGCTCATCTTTCTCCTGTGCAGGTTTGAAGCACCTGGAACACGTGGCTGTTTGGTTAGCAGTGCAGCTCATTACTAAGCTCACCAGAGCTCCCAGTTCTGCCCTTGGAGGTGACCAACGGAGACGCCTACTCTGGTCTCTGTGCTTTGTTCAGCCTCCCTGTGACTGTGCCTCTCCGCATAAAGATAGAGAGTCATTACCACTTACAACCGATGCCCTTGCTTGAGTACCCTCAACGCTAAGAATTCCTCCCCGGACAGCCCTACCTTCCAGGGCCTAGGATTCCCTGGGTGATCCAAATTGTTCACATGCTCGCTGAAAAGCTGAAGGGTCAAGTTCACCCACTGGTGCCTTAATAGAAAGACCTGAGATCTAATTCTGAAAAAGTCAGCCAGTGAAACCCCTCTGGGGCACAGATGGGGATCATAATGTGTTAGAATCAACTGGTCTAGGAAGGGCCTCTGTGGCCCTCCATCCCCAAGGCAGAATATACAGTTGGCGTGGTCATCTTTGGAGAAAAAAAAAAAAAGTGTGGCGAAGATTGTTTGCAGGGCAGGGCTCTCGTAAATGTATAGGATGGATAAGTTGCATGGCTGCAGGCCAGGGTCCTGCAACTGCATTGTTAGGGTGCTCTCCGTGGTGAGTCAGGTGCAGGTAGATAATAAGAGCTATCACGGATTCCTTGATTAGCCTGGATCAGCTGTTTGAAACATACTGCACGTTTCAAGTCAGTGAACCCCCATGCCAATATAGGGTGCTTACTAGTGTTAACCCCATCTTACAGACAAAGCACCATGGCATAGCGAAGTGAAATTGCCCACAGATAGTGAGAAGCAGAGCTAGGACTTGAACCAGCCTGCACCAGAGCAGATTCACCCGGTGACCCTGTGGAAACTATATCTGCCTGTCTCTCCTCGCGCCCCCAGTGGATGGCCGCCCCCAGGGGCAGGGACCCTCCACCTCCCTCCAGACACTGCAGGCCCCGGGCTAGCCTCCACCGGGACGAGGAGGGCTGGTCGGCTCTCTCGGTGACTGCCTCCCAGGTGCCCAGGCTTCGCCTGGCCCCAACCCCCGGCCCGTGTGGAGCAGCCGTCGGAGGGCCTGGCGGTGACGGCGGCGCCTGGCAGCGGGGGATTTGGATGCGGCGGCCGCGGCGCCCCCTCCCTCCCGCCCGCGCGCGCGCTGGGCTGAGCCGGGAATTTATCTCTGCGAGTCCAGCTCCCTTCCCGGCATGCCCTGCTCGCAGGGAGCCGCCTGGAGTCCCGCGCCCGGACTTTGCCGTCCGGGGGGGGGGGGGGGGCCTGCCACGGAAGCACCACCTGAGATGCGTCCTGGAGCCGCCGCCTAAGGTGGGTGACCTCGCCGGGACCGGCAGGGCTCCGTGCACGCTGGGCCTGCAGGAGAGAGGCTCCGGGCGAGCCTTGGGGCGCCCCGCAACTTTGGAGAGGGGCGCGCCCCACGGGTGGGGAGCGTCGTGAGGGCTCCGGCGCCAGTTCGGTCCTCTTCCTTGGGGGAAGGGAGACCCAGCCGCCGCTTTGTTCGGTGGTGGCTCCTCGGGGGCGCAAAGCGCAGTCTGGTGCCTGCAAGTCTGGGAAAGTAAGTTGGAGCAGCGCATCCTGCACCCGCCCGGGAACGATCGGAGTGTCAGGGCGCGCTGCGAGCTAGGGCTCCTTTCCCCCAAGCCTCGGGAGGCTCAATCCTGGGGTTTGGAGATGCGGTTGGGGGTGGCAGGGCAGGGAAGAGGGGAAGGGTCGTGGGTCTATTTTATCGCTGTAGATTTAGAATAATACAGGGGAAGAAAGTAAAGGAGAGAGAGGCCGACGCAAATTTATACCTGGATGGAGGAGGGGACAGTGAAACTCAGCAGGAACCGAAAAGAAGGCATAAAGGAAAAGAAAAACGGAAAACACGCAGAAAAAGGCAGTGAAAACTCAGAAAAAGCACTTGCACTCTGAGAAAGGCGCGTGCGCACACACCACACAGAAACAAAGCGGGTGGTCTTGGATGCCAGGCTTGGGAGAGGAGAAAAGAGGGAGGGGAGGCGCACTGGGGGGTGGGAGGGAGAGGCACGCCAAGGGAAAGCGGAAAGAGGAGTCTAGAGGGAGACCCAGAGAGAAGCGGAGATAGAGACAGAAAAAATCGAGAAGTGCAACAGCGGAGGGATGACACGGAGGAGGAGATGGGTAGAGTGGACTAAAGGAAGTGGACAAGGAGGGACACGGAACATATCAAGGAACATACATCTAGAGAAACTGGCAGAGTTGAAAAATTTGTGACCTGTACGCCCACTCACACACACATTCACGCTCAGAGAGAGAATGACAGAAGAGACAGCCGCCGACTTGCCCTGGTGGGAAGTGTACCCCACGCTCTGCTCCCTAGTCTTGTCCACTCGGCAAACTCCTAGTGGTCTTTGAAAACCCAACTCAAGCATCACCTGGTTTGTGAAGGCACCTTTCCCCCACAGTGCGGTGCAGACATGGTTGCCGTGTTTTCTGTGTACATCTGTGTGCAATAACAGGCTTGTCTTGGTGCCTGGATCACATGGAGTCTCCCTCCTCTATCAGCTTAAAGTTGGAGCCTATGTCTTACTTATTTCCAGTCTCCCAAACAAGATCAGTATTTGAAACAAAGCGGATGATCAATAATATATGGAGCATTTGGATGCTCTGAGACATGGAACACAGAATTAAGTGCAAATGGAGGAGATCAAGGGGTCACGGAGAGCCTTTTTGCAAGTGGGGAAATGAAAGCTTTGTGGGGAGAAGGTCTACTATGAAACAACAAGGTGAATACCTGCGATTTTAAAATAGACATGAAAGAACTCAGCCGGTAAAAACAGGTAACAGACAATAGACAGAGACATTATTTGGAATTTTCCAACATGGAAACTGACAAGCAAAACCCTTTTCGGAGTTATTAGGCTCTCTCTCTCTTTTTTTTCCTTAGAAAGGAAAAGGAAGACAAGTATCTGTCTAAATTTAAATGAATGGGCTTTGGGGTTGAAATTCAGCTCAGTTGCCTCCTAACTTGGACCAGTTTGTTTTCTTAACTGTGAAATGGGGATTGTGAGGTTAGAAGAGTTGGCATAGACAAAGCAGATCTTCAATAAATGCACCCCCTTGCCTTTTCCCAGTGTGCATTCTTCCTTTCATATGCATGGGTTTAGAGGGGAAAACTTAAGTTCCCTTTTGTCTCAGGTTTGAAAGATCATCCTGATCTAAACCTAAAAGAAGACAAGGCAGATTTGAGACATGACTTGTAAATTGTACCTTGGCCCTATTAGGCCCTCAGGTGTTTGCCGGTGACTTGAGGGTCCTTGTCTTCTCCTCACCTCCCACCCCTTTTGCCTCTTCCACAGGTAAAACCATTGTTTGTTTCTTCTCTGGTTTCCTTGCCAGGTCTTCTCCACCGTTGTGTTCTCTCAAGCCTGAGTGCACCCTGGAGATGTGACTCGGGCTGAGCCCCCTCCAAAGAAGCATGGAGACGGTAGTGATCGTTGCCATCGGTGTGCTGGCCACCATCTTTCTAGCCTCATTCGCAGCCTTGGTAGTGGTTTGCAGGCAGCGCTACTGCCGACCCCGAGACTTGCTGCAGCGCTATGACACCAAGTGAGTGGTTCCGGGGAGAGATCAGAGCTGACAAGGTGAAAAAAAAAACACCACAAAAACCACCAGAAACATTTTAGTGCTGGGTCTCTCAGGCTGAATTTTTTTGTCTGTACCATGGCACTTGCCAGCTGCCCTTCCTGATCAAGACCTTAGAGCTTACGGATGCCCCTGAATAAAGCCACTACAGTGAAAATAGGAGGATAACTGAGTAAGAATAGAGAACTCTGGTGGCCTAGAGGTAAGAAGCTGTGCTGCAATCCTGAAGGCACGTGATTCGAATTCACCAGCTGCTTTGCGGAAGAAGGACAGGCATTTTCCTCTCATTCTGTTAACTACTTCTGAAAATCCATTATGGGTTGGTTCTAGCTCAACAGTACACAACAACTGAATAAGTTATGTATAAATATTCAAAAGGTAAAGGAGAGAAAGGGAACAGAAAAAGGGGAAGGGAGAAAATTCCCTGGGACAGCACAGGTTAGTGGGTGTATGTGTGAAATAAAGGGAAAAGCTCAATGGGGGCTTGAAAAGATGGGGTGATAAAAGGCATAAACAATGATAATTATATAAAATATAATGCATATGAATGATTGTATAAAATGCAAAGTGCATGTACAAGACACAGTGTATATGAGTGAGTATATACAAATCAACAGAAAATTAATTTTAAAAACTACTCCTTAAACCTCCCAGCGTCCTGAGCCATGGAGCCAATGAGAAAGTGACAGAACACGTTCACCTGGGTTGAAGGCTCGGCCATTCATCTAAGACTGGCCAGCTCACTTAGCAGTTGGACAAGCCAAATCTCTTTTCAGCCAAACCCACGGGTACTGAAATCAGATGCCTGAGTTCCAGCCTCACAGCCAAGCAACAATTGGCCCAGTGAAATCCTATCAGAGGGACTGTATCTTACTTTGTACAGACAATTTTGTCATGATACATTTGACATGAGATATATTTTATAAACAAGAGCCTGTTTTCTGTTGAAAAGCAACACAAACCCTCTGCCTTTGAGTCACTTGTGACTCTTAATAATCCTATGTTGAGTTTTTGAGGCTGTAAATCTTTATGGGAAGATACCGCTAATCTTTTTCCCCATCGAGCAGCTGATGGGTTCAGATCACTGAGTTTTCAGTTAACATCTACCATGTAACTCTTTATGCAGTGGCTAAGTGCTTGATTGCCTAAAGAATTAGTGATTGGGACCTGTCAGCAGTTCTGCGGGAGAAGGATGTGGCCATCTGCTTCTGTAAAGACTTCAGCCTTGGAAATCCTATGGGGCAGTTTCACTCTGGTTTGTAGGGTCGCTATGAGTTGAAATCAACTTGAGAGTGACAGACCCAAGAAAGCTCTTCTTTCCAGGAGCTTATTTTAAAGAATGTAGATATAAAAATATGATTATTTTTATTTTTCCAACATTGCCAGTGAAACTAGGGGGAGCAGGGACTCTTGTGGTGGATCAGGGGATTCTTAGAAGTGATTCTGTAAGACCAAGGAGAGCACAGTGGCAACTATGGGTAATATCCATCCCAACCACCCTTTAACATGTAGATTTTTCACCACAATAAGAAAAAGGTAAACAACTCAATCACAAAATCAGTACAGGATATGAACAGACACTTCACCAAAGAAGACATTCAGATGGCAAGCAAACACATGAAGAAATGTTCAAAATCCCTAGCTCTAAGAGAGATGCAAATTAAAATAATTATGAGCTGTCATCTCACTCCAGTAACAATAGCAAAGGTCAAGAAAGTAGCAAACAACAAATGCTGGCGAGGTTGTGGAGAAATTAGAAACCTTATTCACTGTTGCTGGGAGTGTAAAATGGTGCAACCACTATTGTAGGCGGTATGGCACTTTCTCAAAAAGTTGGAAATAGAAATACCGTTTGACCCTGCAATTGCACTACTGGGAATATACCCTAAAGAAACAAGAACTGCCATCCAAACAGATATATGCACACCCATGTCTATTGCTGCATTGTTCACAATAGCAAAGAGATGGAAACAACCAAAATGCCCATCAACAAACGAATGGATAGAGAAACTGATATATCCACACAGTGGAATACGATGCAGCACTGAAAAACAAGGAGCTAATGAAATATACAAAATGGATGACCATGGAGGACATTATCTGGATGAAATATCTCAGTCACAAAAGGACAAATATTGCATAATGCCACTGTTATAAAACAGGACTGACATGGGAGTTGGGGGGAACTAAGAAAAGACAGTAAAAATAATGTATACTGCATTAAAACAAATGAGGGAAAGAACTGTTTAAAAGAAATATATGATCAGGTATTATTTGCATGAGAATAGTCCAGAAGAAGAGCTTCATAGCAAAGTGGACTTGGGGAAGGAAGGGGAGAGGAAATTGTGCAACAATGAAAGAATTTTTTTTTTCAATGAAAAAAATTTTTTTTTCCAAAGAGAAAAGCAAACTGGGGCGTGGATAGGGAGGAAAATGTGCAACAGTGAATGAATGGAAATCCAAGTTCTCTGTAAACTATTGTTAAAATCACAAAAAAAATAATGTGAAAAGACCCCCCACATAAGTAGTAAAAAAAAAAAAAAGGTAGATTTGAAGGTAAAATAAGTTAACAAGAGGATGTCATTTTGTCCTAAAAGAGAAGCCTTGTTTACACAGCTTCGTCATTATTATGCTAGTGCCTCTTCTTTTCTTTCTCCAAGGGATTTATCTCCTATGTCTTTTTTGTGTGTGAGGGAGGAGTTACTCCTGGGCCGCCCCCTTGACTCACTGTCTAATCATGGCCTTGCCTGTCACTTCAGCCCCTACTAGGCTTTGGTTTGGATTTAAGGCAAGTGCTTCTGCTCTTATTGATCTTTTTTTTTTCTATAATTATATTTTATTAATTTTCATAAACATTTACAGAGATTTTGGGCTTCCACTCATTCATTGTTGCACTATTCTCTCTACCCTCCTCCCAGTTTATTCTTGTCCAAATGCCACAGTGCTTGTCAAAGCCAGTTCTGATTAATCTTCTTTGTCAGTGTATCCTTTGCCATTCCCTATCACTCCTCCCTGAGAGAGACTTCACCCTGAGTCATAAGGAAAAGGGGACGGCGTATTCTCTTAGCTACTTCCTGCTGAAAAGGGACGCTGTGGGTTTCAGGGTGAAGATCTTCTCTCACTACTCTAAAGGGCCCCTTTGGCAGTAGGAAACACATAGACTATTATGGAGATTGATTTTGGAATTCAGATGCACTCTTATTGATTGTGCTTGGCTGTACATGTACATATCCTTCAAGATGTATCATGGGGGTGTTGCAACCTAGAAGACATAAATTTGACTAACAAGTTATGAGTACATGAGTCCAAAAATTATGGAAAAGTAAAAGAAAAGATTCTTTCATTGTTTTACAAACCCTCCCCCAGGTCCCCTCCACCATGCAGCCCTCGCTCTAGTCTCCTGTGATGACAGAAATACCCAGTTACATCTCTCTTTTAGACGGTTCTCTCCCTCCTCTGTTTCAGTGCAGTATACATTATTGAACCCATCTTACTCAGTCTCTCCCCAACCCCAAGGACAGTCCCATTCTACAACAGTGGCATCATGTAATATTTGTCCTTTTGTGACTGGGATATTTCACTCAGCATAATGTTCTCCAGAGTCAACCATTTTGAATAATATTGCATGAGTTCCTTGTTTTTTAATGCAGCATAGTATTCCATTGTGCGAATATACCACAGCTTCTCTAGCCATTCGTTTGTTGATGGGCGCTCTTATTGATCTTGTTCCTTTTATCCTCTTACAGTTTGTAGGCATCGGTGAAGGATGTGGATCAGCAGCATTACCGTGAAATCAATTAACTGGTCCCTTTCCTTTCAGGCCTATTGTGGACCTCATTGGTGCCATGGAAACCCAGTCTGAACCCTCTGAGTTGGAACTGGATGATGTTGTTATCACCAACCCTCACATTGAGGCCATTCTGGAGAATGAAGATTGGATTGAAGATGCCTCGTAAGGCCATGGGGATTGTTGACTTTCTTGTGGGTTGCCTTTTAGATCTCTAGGGATAGCATGTGGGGATTTCTGAATTCTCTTCTCTGGCTCCTAGCATACTCAGCTGGCATCCAAGAGCTTTGTGTTCTACTCTGCTCATATCCTGGCCCTGAAACTGGGGATTTCTAAGTGTGGAATGGTAGTGTTTGCCCACGTCTCCATTTTGGAGATCTGAACACTGAAATCATACATGTGTGACAGATTGTTGATATACTTGGATTATCCTTGGGATGTCTAAGGATAAAATTGAGCCTCCGAGAATGAATGCTTTGCCTTTAGAATCTCAGAGATCTTTGGATTCAAGCAGGAACCCCTTCGGCTTGAGTGTTGCACGCCACATCATTTCCTTAGGTGTTCATGGGGACCACTATGTAGAGAGCACTGTGCCCAGGCAGCACAGCTAGGAAAATGCTGGAAGAGACAATGTCTAGATTTGCCTGGGGTGGAAAAGTCGAGTTGAATTTTGTGAGAGATAACACCATGTAGGTGCCTTGAACTTGAAAGACGAGAAGTGGTTTACAGGCTGACCATAAAGAGGACACACCAAGTAGAGGCAACAGTTTGTCCGAAGCAAGGTTTTATGAAGAGCCTGGTGGAAGAGTAGACTGTGGTGAGGGGCAGGAAGCGGAGGGGGGACGATGCTTCTCTGTTTAGTTCCTGGACCTGTTTGTTTTAGCAGTGAGTCTTTACTGGGCTCAGGTGGTGTCAAGCTGTGTCCACTAAACAGAACTAGATGAGGAACAGTGGTGGTGACTGGAGGAAGGTGGGCTTCTCAGGCAACCATTGACAGACTCTTCTTGTCTCCTCAGGGGTCTCCTGTCCCACTGCATTGCCATCTTGAAGGTAATCCTTTCTCATTTTCTGATGTGAAAGCGAGTGTCAACAGAGAGTCCATGTATACATCCTTGGATTTGAAAGAGACCTTATGCAGAGAACCAGCCTCACAAGGGTCCGCTTAGCATACCTGGGGCTTGGAGTTTCTACTGTCTGCTTCCGCTTCCTCCTGAATACCGTCTTATCGCTTCATGATTCTCAGGCTATTAGAAGAGGCTTTTCTTTCATACGATTCTAACAGCCTAGATAGTTACTGATCCACAGAGTAAACTGTGTGTGCCCAAGACCATGTAGGTACTAAGAAAATAACGGTTTCCTACCTTCTCCCAGGGCACTTGATTTCCTTAATAGAGACCTCAGGCCTTTACAGCAAGTTCTGTATTTAGACTTTTCCAAGTGTGAGAAGTCTTTGTGAAAGGAGATAGCCAAAAGGGACAATCCATGTTAAAAAAAATCCAAACTATGTTGCCTTTAACTTGGAGGCAGAGTCCTCCATCCCCTCAAATCCTATACTTGAACTCTTAGAAAAGTTATACTCAATTTGTATTTTAGGTAATTAAAACAATTTTGGCTTTGTACTTGCCTGGTACATCTAATAGGATGGTTGTTGTTATTGTGTACTGTCAAGTTGGAACCAACCTATAGCTGACCCTCCAGCTTGTTTTCAGAGGCAGTTAATTGCACAGGAGGAGATGACCCATCCTTCTCCGGCAGACAGGGAGTGGCTGGTGTGGTGGATACTTGGTCAGTTGCACATGTTGTCAGCATTTGTCCTTGAAGAACTGAGGAAGCCCCACTTTTGTGTTTCTGTCTGATAATTTCTGTCAAGATTTCACCAAAGGCAACTATCTTTTCTTCAGTGTCCTTGATCCCTTTTATTCCTTGGCTACCTGTCTTTGAGAGACAAAGAAATACTTGGATGGGAACTGCTGTCTTATTATTTATTTCCCAGATGTTCTTTGCATATGTAGATCTGGTTGTAGATACAGATGAGGGACTCTGGGGCTTGACTGCTTACTTAAAGGTGGGTGGTGTGAACTCACCAGCTGCTCCATGGAAGAGAGAGGTTACAGCCCTCCATACCCCATGAGGAAGTTCTGCTCCGTCCTGTAGGATCACTAAGAGTTGACATTGACTCTGACAATGGGGTCAATTTTCTTTTTTTTTGCTTTTAGATCTTAGTTGTTATGATGTACCTGTAGCTGGGCCTCTAGTGGGTTTTTAGAGGCAATAAATCGCACAAGAGGGGTTCTCCCATTTTTCTCCTACGGAGCACTGGTAGATTCAAATGGTGTATCTTTGCATTGGCAGCACAATTCCCTACCACTGACCCCCAGAGCTCCCTCTTTCAGTATAAACAGGTATGATGACTGCCACTATCATGCCGTATTGCATCTCTCTTCTCAGCCAAGGTGTGTTCTGGAACTGTTTTTGCCTCTTGCCGTTCCCTATCAGGGACCTCTGTGGCCTGGTGATAAGAAGTCACACTGCTAATCCCAAGGCCCTGTGGTTTGAATCCACCAGCTGCTCCGTGGGAGAATGATGGGCACTGCCCTTCTGTGCAATTGACAACTTCTGAAACCCCCGTGAAGGGTCAGCTAGGAGTGGGTTCCAACTCCACAGCGCCTAGCAAGTTGATTCCTATTCATGGTGAGCCCCTTTGCAAGGGGACTCCATAGGACTTTTTAAGACTGGCCATTTTGAAGCAGATTACCGGGCCTGTCTTTTAAAATGCCTCTGGGTGGGTTTGAACTTCCACACTTTTTGGCCAGTTACTGAGTGCTTAACCATTTGTGTCACTTAGGAACTGCTTATCATACAGAAAAATAAATGACATCTCTTTTAATGCCCAGAAGGTGTCTTATTGGATTGAAATCAGAGATCCATTCTGAGAACCTCAGATCAAAGGAGCATTTAATCTCCTCTTGGGATCTCCAGGTCCCTGTGCTTGGCCCCCTGCCCTGTGGTGGGGGTTTGAGGGAGGGGACTAGGCTTATGTCTAAGTGGGGTTTAGGGCTTTTTTCTGCCCACCTTTCTCCAGCTGTAGGTATAAAGCAGGGAAATGTCTACGAAAGAGACAATCATATTCAGATTCTGACATAAGGGAAGGGATGAGAGAGGGGGCAGACTTTGGGGTGGCCAGTGCTGTTAGCTGGTGATGAGAAAGGCCGTATGTCATAGTCTTGTCCTTTTCCTAAGGTCCTTTTCTCATCGTCATGACAAACAACATGTTGATATATTAACCTAGGAAATTGTTGAAGTAAGTGCCACTTTCGGACAATGTGCTTAGAGGAACAATTGCCCTTTGTGCAGCTGTGTTTCCAAAGGTGCCACGCTGGAGATATTTATTCTGCCAGCGGGTTGGACCATGAGGTAAAGGAAGAGAAAGAGAAAGTAGATTTTCTCTCTCTGAGCAGAAGGTGAAATCAGAGCACATGATTTTTCTTAGACAGATTATTTCAGCTTCAGTTTCTCTCAGCCAAAACCTTGCCCTGGAGTGGAGGTTTCTACCCCTCCCTTTTCACCCATGTTCTCGGCATTTGCTTCTTCCCACCCTCATTTCTTCTAATCGCTGTGTACTTTTTCTTTTCAATTCTGCCATTAGGTTAGGAAGCTGGTTGTGTGATGTGACCCATGGTGGACACTGTGTTTAATCTTGTGGGGGTGTTTGGAGCCCTGGGGGGAGCTAGGTCACACCTCATCACCTCTTTCCTTTTGTCCACATTAGATTTGTCACACACTGACAGAAAAACTTGTTGCCATGACAATGGGCTCTGGAACCAAGATGAAGACTTCAGCCAGTGTCAGCGACATTGTTGTGGTCGCCAAGCGGATCAGCCCTAGGTCAGTGGTCTGGGCCCTTGACCCGCCACTCTTCTGGTGAAGAGAAGCGGGTGGGCGCTCAGGTGGTTGGCAGATGCAGGTTCCTTTAAGAAACCGTGTGCAGACAATGTCATTATTTATATCACAGACATTCACCAAGCATCTAGCATTGTGACACCTTCAAGCTAAGATGGCCTCTTACACCCAAATATAACCACCTCCACCATGCCCCATCCTGTTAGGGTTTTAGGTGGTTCCAGCCTGGTGACTCGTCCTGCCTCAGCTGATAGACACTTTCTGAGGTGGCCCCACCCACATTTAGTGCCTTACCCAGCTGAGGAGGTCTGCCCTTCCCTTTTCCACTTCTTTGACCCAGAATCTGCACTAAAACAAACAAGCACAGCCGGCTAATGTAGGCACCCTGTCTCCTAGAGCTCTCTTGGCCAAACCCTCTGTCACTAACCCCATATCTTTGTTAGAGACTAGTATGGGGTCTGCTTCTTGTGATGCTTCTATTGGCCCATTTGTGACCTGGCCAGCAGTTTATAGAAGTAGATGGTAAGTTAAGGCACGCACCATCCAGATCTATTGCCATTGAGTCAGATCGAGCTCATAACCACGTTCTAGGACAGCGTAGAACTTCTCTATTGGATCTTAAAGGCTGTGATCTTTATGGAAGTAAGACTGCTCCCTCACCCTTGTGGAGTTGGGTAGTGGGTTCAAACTGCCAGCCCTTGAGTTCCCAGCTAAGTGTTCAATCGTGGCATCACCAGAGCTTCTTACACAGTTCAGTCCTCCCAAATTCCTGGCAGTCTGCAAAATCCTGTGTGGGAGGCAACCAGCAGGATTGCAGTCAACAGCAACACCTCCTCATTTGGACCTCCTTTGTGCTGTGAAGTCAAATAAAGACCTTCTTCTGCGAGAGGATTGTGTTAAGACTGTGCTGCCACCTGGTGGCCGGTATGTGACTCGCCTGAGCCGGGGAGTTCGCCAAGTCCAGGATGTTTTTCTTCCACAGCCACCTGGGCTCGAGCTGGGCGTGGTACCTCTGTTCCTGGTGGATGTGGTGGCACCTGTTTGAGCTCCAGGGCCTTTTACTTTCCTTGTGACCATCCCCTTAAGTAAATCATGAAGTGAACCAGTTAATTCCCTGCCTGAAATAAAGTGACCAAATAAAAATGAGCCACTTCCTGTGAAGTCCTCTGAAGTGTTGGAATAGGAGAGAAGTGGTGCCTTGAACTCTGCCCCAGGAGGAGTTCAGGGAGTTGAGAGAGTAGGAGGAACATAATCTAGGGGTGGGACGCAGCCCCGGAAGGTTCTTGGCCTTCTCTGGGGTTGTTTCCGTGTGGGTGAGGCTACATGGCTAGTATCAGACTCGGTCTCTCCTTGGCCGTGACACCCCCACCTTTTACCCCCCCAGGCTAAGCTGCAGGCAAGCATGAGCCATTCATCAGCCATATATTAAGTTTAGTGATTCTGCAGTCACATGGCTCCTAAACCCTTCACCGTGCTTTTTTGTTACTTCTAAGCAACTCTACAGGAGCTCTGCTGGCGACGTGACTGAAGCATGTAGGTGACTAAACAAAAGGTCGTTGGTTTGAATCCACCACTCACTTCAAGGGAGAGATGAAACAGTGGGCTGCCTCCAAGACTGAGTGCCTCAGAAAGCCTGTGGAGGGGGTGTGTCCTTCAGGGTTGCTGTGAGCCTGAATTGACTCAAAGGCAGTGGGTTTGGCAGTGGGGTAAGAGCCACCTCAGGGAGCCAGACAGATAGATGCTGTGATGCCCTGTTATTAGGCAGCACTTTCAAGAGTGGACAAGGGAGAAAGAAGATAGAGATTTCTGAGGAGAGGTGAAATCTTGGGAGAGCGAGACTAACAGTGGCTCTTGGGTGAAGTGATGATTTTGCTCAGAGGGTGGGCCTGGCCTGATAACTCACTGGCCCACTCTCAAACAAGAACCTCAAACTAATTCCAGAATGTTCCATGGCATAATTCAGTCAGGGTTCCTTCATTTGTCATTGTGCCCTCATATTCTTTCTCCTTCTGGGCATTGTTTACCACCACTGTTTTCCCTGCTCCATTCCTTAGCATGTGGAGGGCTGATCACTTTCAAGGAGAGTGGCCTCGGCCCCAGGGCACCAGAGACAAGGACCAGCTCAGACAGACACCCCAGTGACTGTGTCTGCGTTTGCTCATCAGCCCCTCCACCTGAGACAAGAACATCGGGCGGCAGCTTTTGTCAAGTGCTTTCAGAAATTGAATTCTGCGTCTTTATTTTTCCTCCTTGACCATCAAGTGTCTCGGGAGCAAGACTTAAAGCAACACTTTGAACCACAAATCCAAAATAATAGTTCCTCTTTGAATGCGATTGAAGTTTAACCATAAATCCAATGTATCTGTTTTAACCAAAATGAAACTTAGAGAGTTTGTTTTTGTTTTTTTTTTAAATTTTATTATTTTTGTGTGTGTGTACCATCAAATCAGATCTGACTGGTACAGGAGGAGATTGCCCCTCCTTCCCCGGCAGAGCATCTGGTGGATTCGAACCCTGCGCCTCTGGGATTGTAGTTGCAGCTCCCTGCCACTAGGCCACCAGAGCTCCCCTGAGAGTTTTTAAAAAAATAA